CTTCCGATCCTAGTCTGTCTGTCAAGACTTTTTATAAGCAAAGCCACAGCTGAAAAGAAGTGGAAGCTTAACTTAGGTAGTAAGTGTAACAGCCTCTTTCCCCTTTCGGAGAAAGAGGGACTCAGAGCTCTGTACTTTGAATGCTTCTTTTCTTGAAAGGCACTTGAAAGAGCACATTTAGTGTCTGAACCATAAATGCTCACACAGATTTATGTAAATGTGCCCTGGTCATACATTGTAGCAGAATTTCAGCTAACTCTTCACATACCGCAAAAACTGAATTTTTCTTTTTATTACTGGCACATCATAACACATCAAACACCAGCTGTGCCCCAGGACTGTATATTCCTGAGGGTATTGCTGGAATAAACAAGCCAGCTATGTTCCTAGCTTGTTCTCTGCCTAGAATTTGGGAAAAGAAATTCTTACCAAATGAGTAGGAAATACTTTCCATACTTGCATCTAGCCATATGATCTGATTATCTAATGTTCTGATCAAAGCTTACCACATGAATTTGAGATTTTAATTTTAAAGTATGCAATGTATGTTTCTTGCAGGCATTTCTACAATTAAAGTGAATATTCGCCATGCCAATTCACTGGGAGGTGGTTTCCATTGCTGGACATGTGATATCCGCCGCCGTGGTACCCTGCAATCTTATTTTGATTAGTTATGAGCCAGATAGGCAGCAATGGTTCAGCTGCTAAAATAAGCATAGGAAATTAACAAACTAATTTCACTTTTGTTAAAACAACTGCATGAGCTCTAGTGCTTGATCAGTGGTGTCCTTACAGTGGTCTGGTAAATGATTTACTCTTACATACTCCTCGCTTTCAGCAGTATAATTGAAACTACTTCCATCAGCAAAACAGGTTTTCTGGCTGGCTTTTTGAAAGACATTCTTCATCTGTGAAGCCATTTCACATTGGCTTTGAATGTAAAAACTTGACAAGCTAGCTAAAGGGTCTTGCTAGAATAGCTTGGCCACTAATATTGGACATCTACCTCTGTCTAGTTACTCTATCGAATAGGCAGCTTGAAATGTTAAACTTGAGTAAACTTTTCTTATTCCTTTTAATCAGTCTGTTGTTCTAATATATTCGTGTTTAATGAAGTTAAAGTAGATGCAACTGTACAGATCTCTTACGGAACCAAGTAATTTTATAATGTTTTTCATGTTGAGCCATACAGATATTTACAGAGAATTTCCAGTATGATCTAACTTTTAAAACATGTTCACTTACTTCCTCTGTCCTTCTGCATTTTCTGATGCATTTGTCATGCATCTGAATACTTTTTTGTATTGCTTTTTGTATTGCTGAAATTGGGTTTTATTTAACTTTGAAGTGTACAAATGATAGCTAATATTCTGCTTGTACAGGTTTCACCCTGAATTGTTTACATAACTTTTTAAAAAAAAAAGGCACAAAACAACAACAAAAAAAACCACTAACAACCCCTCCTAACCCTAAACCTCTGACGTCTTACAACCCCTTCTTCCTCTAACTGTAGCAGATACAGAAAGATGTATCAAACATGCCAGATGCTGTGAAGGAATCTGACTATTGATTACTGAATATGTACTTTTTATGCTAATAAAGTTTTTTGCATTCTCAATTTGTTGCCCTTCTGAAAATGAGTAAGCATGCAATGTCTGGATGGGTACGTGTTTTTAGAATACAGATGGAAATACAAAATACACACGGATTTTTTTTTTCTGTAAAACTTGTACCATCTTAGGCACTTGTATAATGCAGGAAACCCTTGTATTATATTGTTCATATAGTATGTTTCTGCTTCTGTTTTGCACAGAAGTATGATTGGTGGGGGAAAGTAACACTAATAAATATTTCTTACCAGCGTGTGGAGGAATCTACTCCATCAGACAATGCAGTGCACCTTGACAGAAAAGGTCTTGCAAAATCAGATGTCAGGCATAACATCCTAACATATAAACTACCATCACACTAGTATTTTACTATTAGACTGTATTTTACCCAGAGTTGGGTGGGACTAAAAATGTTATATGTCAACAATCTAGAATGCTTTAAGATATGCTAGACTGGAAGAGCTAATGAGACAGCTGCTACCACTTGACCAGGTAGAGATGATCCCTCTTTTCCCTGTAAAATCAAGGCTGTTTAGACAATGGAAACTAATCTGAGTCTTCCTTAACCAAGCTTTTCTTTCCAATATTGACAGTGGAGCTGACAGCTGGGTAGAGGAGCATGCACAGCAGCTCATCTTTCCCATCGTTCTGCATGCTGTAGTGCTGAAATGATGTCTGTGCGTTTGTGCTTGGCATAAGTAATCACAAGGTACAGCTGAAACCATTACAAACTCTGGCCAAGTGTAGATTAGTAGCAGGATGTGTGGACCCCTGATACCTCCATGATTAAGGAGACTTTATCATGTTATGCATGACCCCTACTTGACAGGGCAGTGGTGCTTTACATGAACATTACAAATGCTCTGACTTCATCTCAGTGTACTCTTCTGAAGCACTTGGGGTATAAGACCATCACAATTTCTTTTTTTTCTCCCTAAATGAACATGATTGACCCCCAGCAATGAAAGCACTGCATGTGCCATGACCTTAACGTTCCCTTTCTCTGGAAAACATGCTGCTGTCTGCTCTGATGTGATCAGTCGTTTCTTGTTCAGAGCAATAGGAAAGGAGGGATTGGTGGGGATGTCTGCCTGTTTGTTCTGATAATGAAGATGTAATTCCTTCAAAAATAGTATAGACTGGAGATTTTGACATCACAGGGAAACACTCAAGACACATTTAGCTTCAGCGTTGGACTAATAGCTTCAGTTGAGTTCCCAATAAATGCTTTAACTCCGAAGTTTTTTGGTTACCACCATTCGTATGCTATTCTGATTTGTAGTGTTGAATTAAGGCTTGGGTATCCCCAATGGTGAACATGACTGAACCTTGGGTAGTTGTTTATACCCATCTGGGAGAAGTGCAAGAACCAAGTGGCAAAAAAATCTAACAAGGGCTGTAATTCACCCTTTGTGTCAAATTCATTTTTTTCAGTTTGAGGGGAAAAATGATAGAATTCTTTTTCAGCCTTTTCTGTTTTGTATGGATTCTTGCACCTCTGGGATTCTCAGGCTCTGTTGCTTGTGGGCTGTTTCTTTTTAGGCATGTGATGCACTTCCATGGAACCATGTACTCTTTGAATCTACTCAACACTTACGTGTTTTCCTACGGTTCTAAAGAAAGTGTAGTAATTATTACTTCGATGACAAATACATAAGCTCTAATGCTGGCACAAAGCTGTCTTTACAGCAGGCCTGTCTTGCTGATTTTTTTCCTTCAGTTCAGATTTTTTTTTCTTCAGTTCATTTTAGGAAGCTGAAATAACCAACCCAACCAAGCAAAAGTACTGACTAGGAAGTTTAGGCTTCTACTTTAACAGGAAAGAAATGGTTTTACTATGCTTTCCTATTTAGACCATGACAAAAAATAGATTTCAAAGTTTCTAATGTCATGGTTTAGCTTTAGCCTTCTTACTTGTAATACTCATTTGAAAAGCAGCTTCAAGAATTAATAGCACTTTTCTTTTGTAACCAGGAATTTTGTTGTTTTGCTTAGGTGAAGTTAATACACAGATGAGCTGGAATTGCTCCCTTTCTGTACCCTTTTATGCAAACTGAATAGTGTCTAAAAAAGTCTGAGTATAGAATCATAGAATCGTTTAGGTTGGAAAAGACCCCTAAGATCAACAAGTCCAACCGTTAACCCAGCACTGCCAAGTCCACCTCTAAACCATGTCCTCAAGCACCACATCTACCCATCTTTTAAATCCCTCCAGGGATGGAGACTCAACCACTTCCCTGGGCAGCCTGTTCCAGTGCCTGACCACCCTTTCGGTGAAGAGCTTTTTCCTAATATCCAACCTAAACTTCCCCTGGCGCAGCTTGAGGCTGTCTCCTCTTGTCCTATCGCTTGTTACTTGGGAGAAGAGACCGACCCCCACCTCGCTACAACCTCCTTTCAGGCAGTTGTAGAGAGCAATAAGGTCTCCCCTCAGCCTCCTCTTCTCCAGGCTAAAGAACCCCAGCTCCCTCAGCCGCTCCTCGTAAGACTTGTGCTCTAGACACTTCACCAGCTTCCTTGCCCTTCTCTGGGCACGCTGCAGCACCTCGATGTCCTTCTTGTAGTGAGGGGCCCAAAACTGAACGCAGTACTCGCGGTGTGGCCTCACCAGTGCTGAGTACAGGGGACGATCACTTCCCTATAGTCTTAAAGCTTCAGAATTTTTCTTTTCCATTCATAAAAGAAATTCCATTTAGAAAAGGATATTATTCAGCACCAAATTTAGGTGCCAAAACTCTGACTTCATAAACATTTCAGCCACTTGCCAGCCTTTTTGCTTATCCCTTATCAAATGCTCTTTTTTTACCCTAAACTGCACACACAGTACCAAGTCTTTCAGCCTGGAAACCACCAGTATGCTTCTGAAGTTGTTTTTTTTTGTTTGGTAATACAAGTTCTTTTACCTAATCCTTGGAGGTCTCGACCGGTTTGGGAATAGACTTGTGTCTTAAGTCATCTTTCCTTCAACAAGGAAGGCAGGGGAGTTGTTCCCTGTGAGCAGAAGCTTTCTGTTCAATTTCAGCAGTAGTGTCAGAATACAGAGTGGAGAGACACACTAGCAGAAATGCACGGACACGAGGATGCATTACTATCATTGTTTTGGGACAGAGGATCTGGTGGTTGGATATTTTTGAGACCTTCTCAGACCTGACTCCTTCACTGGCCTTAAATTGGTCAGTTGGCCAGTCCGTTTCCACCTAAGTTAAAAGGGGACCACCCTTAGGTACTTCATGAGGCACAGCGATGGTTAAACAATAAATGCCTGGAAACTGTCCCAGTCTACAAAAGTCCTGAAGACTATCTGAGAACCCTGTGGGATCCTGTGTAAGTCTCCTGCAGCACAAGACCAGCAAGGACAAAGTTTGTATCTCTCCCGGAGCTGCAGTATTTTCCCACCAGCGCAGGGAGTATGAGAATTTATTCACAGGTATGTTTACAAATGTCCCTGGGGTGGATATGCACGTCTGTATTACCAAATGTAAAATTACCGTGTCTCACAATTTTTTCTGTCCTATCAGTTTTATTTGGAGATATGATTGTGCCACTATAGGAGAGAATTTATGGAGTGGACGATGCAATGATGAAAAAAGTTCAAAGGTAAATTTTAAAGCTCTAGTGGGCTTTCTTTATAGTGGAAGAACTTGGAAAATGCTGATGAGAAGCAACATTTTCCCCAGTAACCCATTCAAGAGGGAGTGATGCAGAGATAGCAAAACCTTCAGAGGAATGATGAAGGGAACATGATATATAATATAGTTATGGTGGATGCCACCACATAATACTGATACATATAATCTTCCGAGTTATTTTTGTTCTTGCAGAGAGGGAGGTCAGCCTGTGCCACAGTTGGTTTTGGTTAGACAAGACCCTGGAAATAGGAATCTACAGTGAGAAACAGAAGGGCTTGGTTTTTGCTTTGATATCTAATTACAAGCAAATTTTTAAGGCCAAATTACATGTGGGCAACAGGATACGATTGGCTGGAGGAATCAGGCATGATGGTGTTTGACCGCTTCTGTTCCAGGCTGCAGTTTATATGTAAATAAAGCAAATTAAATGCAGGCTGGACTTGAATTCTCCATAATCTGTTTTTCACTTACTGGGAAAGCCTTAAATACTTGCTATTGCTTGGCAGAAGGTCAGCTTCAGCTTTCAAAATAGACAGCACCATCAAAAGAAGCAGCAGAAACACAGACTTGACTGGGAGGCCTAAAACACTGCATCAGTTAAGAGGCGCAAGGATAAGGAAAGGTGATAAATCAGTTGCCTAATCTACAGCGAGTTTTTCAGGGCGGGCTCAGCTCAGCTGCAGGGAATTAGCTAACCACTCCCTGGGCAGGGGCCCTGGGCAGCTAAGATTTTCCTTCCATTTTGTTTCTGAAACTTGGCTGCAGTAAGCTCACTGGTTATGAGAAGCCATGTGTATTTGCATAGATGCCTGTAATAAAGATTCTTCATGTCTGTTTTTTAACTCTTTAATAATAACTTTTTCAATAACTCTTTTTTAACTTTTTAATTCTTAAAGTCTCAGCACCAAAACAGAGAGGATGTGGAAAGAAGGTAAAGTCTTTGAGGCAGGGATAGCCTCCTGCTGTGCATCTGTAGTTCATGGCTGGGAACGCTATGTGCTGCTATGATACAAAGTGGGGGAAGGAGGTGGGTTTTTTTGCCCTACTTAGTGGGCAGAAGAGAAAGAATGGTTCTCTCCGGTCAGTTGCTTGATGCTGTGTCTGTGTCAGCAGAAAATGGTTGTTTCTTGTTTTGGTGTCTCCTGGATGTTTCTGCTGTCTAGCTTAAAATACTCGCTCTCGGTTCTATTTTTTGGCATCCATATGATTAATAACCCAAA